ACATTCAGAAATGTCAGAGGAAATATTTCTGTGTGAAAATAAGCAGGCTGGAAACAGGAAGTTTGCTGGGAAATCAAACACAGACTGGATGTTCACCGATTCCCTGTTGGGCATGGCGGAGGCCCTGTGATGCTGTGGGCCTGCATCAGTTCAAAAAACAGTTTTCTGCTAAATTATTGAGTAAACAGAAACATGAGCTCAATAACAAAGATATTTATTGTTCTTAATGTTATTCATGTCTGTCTGACCTCCAATAATTTAGTTTTTTAACTCAGTGAAAGGTTTGTTTACAGAAATCTCCTGGTTTAAAACTTCAAACATTTTTACATTTGGTTTTTTTAACTGTCAGAAAATCTAAAAATCTTAATCAGTACAGATGGTCTTACTGCTGATTTTAGAAACATAAAGGTTACATTTGTCCTGATGATGTTTTACCAGTTGCAGTTAAACCTGACTGGAAGACGGTCGGCCATCTTGTCGGCCATCTTGGATGTTCGTCCTGTTTGGGTTTTTATTAGGATTAGTTCTGGTTTCTTTCTGCGCTAACAGAGCGGCTCAGAAGCAGAAACGTAGCGCCTGCAGCTCAGATCCGGTAGATGATCTCTGGTTTTTCGGCTCCCTGCCCTGAAGCTTCATTATCTTATGGAAAATCGGCCAGCTTGGCCGATAGCAGCAGGTAGAAAGTGGATAACCGTTCGGCTTCCCTCTGGCTGCTCAGGCGTTTTCCGTCTCTCCAGGTGAAACTCTGAACCTGAATGACGTTTCCTGCAGCACTCGCCTGACAGACGACTCGCCTTAATGGCCTCCTATAAAATCAACGTGTGCGTGTGTTTCTGCAGGCTCAGAGACGCTGGCGTTTGAAGACTGACAGGTTGATTTACTGAACCTGCAGGGCAGAAACGGCAGCCTCTGATTGGCCGGTTCGTATCAGAGTCAAACTGTCCTTTTAGAGGCGTTTCCAGCTTTTTACTCTGCAGCTCCAGTTTTTGGAGGTTTCCATGGAAACTGCAGGCTAACATGAACACCTGAACTGTCCGAGGGGGGAGGGTAACCATGGCGACCGGAGCTCACCTGAGCTGGCGGATCATGAGATTAATCCGCTGCTTGTCCCGACCTGTTGGTGACTCCAGAAGCCCGGTTAATAACGACTTCATGTTTCTGGAAACTTCAGACTGAAGTGGAAACAGGAACTGAATCCATAACATCCAGGAATTTTCCCGACGGTTTTTATCCATCAGGATGAAGCTGAAATGTTTTCTGGCCTGGAAAATGTTTCCATCTGATTTCTATGAAAGAATCTGAATAATAAACTGCATTATCAATGTGATGTTTTACTATTTTACGCTAATTAAATTATTAAAATACATTTGACATTACAAATAATTTAATGAAAACAAGAAATACAAAAAAACAGGTTTAACTGCTACATATTTATATAAATATTTTCTTTACCTTTAAAAAAGAAACCAAAAGCTGGTGATTAATAGAGACAAACATTTATGTTTATTTATTTATTTGTTCCTGACAAATGAAGGATTTGATTAATAAACGATGAAACATCAGATCGTCTGTCTGACCTGTTATGTCATTAACTGACCCACATTTTATCAACCTGCAGCTTAAACGCAACAATAAACAGTTTGAGTCTCATGTAAACTGAGAAAACATTCAAACGGAGCTGAATCATCACCGTGACGTCACAGAGTCACATGATCTCCAGCCAATCAGAGGAGTCGGTTTTAACGTCACAGACAGAAAAGACTAAAAGTTACAACTTTTTAAAGAAATAACAGAAGTAGATCTAAAGTTAAAATCAGGAATCAGATTAATTATAATGAATATTTGTTGTTTTATGGTTAAATCTCACTATCTCAGTTTTTGTCATTATTGGGAGTTATTATGATAAAATAATGTTTTTATTGCTGGTTTCTATGGAGAAACAAACTGTTTCTAGTTAAGGTTCAGGTTTTAAGTTATTAAATCCTTTTATTGTGATGAACTTCATTATCATAATAGTATTAAATTCCAGTCTTAATAATAAAAACTCTCCAATAGTTTAATGTTGTAGAACATTATATAAAAACATTTTTAATTATAAAAATTTATTTCCTTATTTGCAGAGGTTCAGAAAAAAAAAAGGATTCTGTAGAGAATCAGAGCGGTGGGAATTCAGACAAAAATCTATTTTATTACGAATAATTCTTAGATATTTGTTTAATTAAGAAGCTAAGCTAACGTAATACTGACAAATTAATGTGCAGAATTTTATACAGAAACTTATTTTTGTTTCAATAAAAACTGCTGGGATTTGTTCAGTACGAAACATTTCATCTGTTTGCTGTCAGTCGCATCATTTAAACTGAATATTTGAATCGGTTGAATAGAAAAACTGGTTCTGAATCAAAAACCCTAAAACTCTGAATTGTTTGAGGAAGTTGGAAAGTAATTTTCTGTCTTTCTTATTTGAAATTTGTTTTTATGTATCACCATCTTCCTATAATAATGGATTAAATTGTTTTTAGTTAAAACTTTTCACATTTTAGTCATTATTTTATGAAGGTGATGATATAAACTAACCAGAGTTAGTTACATCTGAGTACTTTTACTGCGCTGCACTTTTTGCTTCTATTTAAAATACGTTGCAGTAGTTTTTCTCTTGGTGAGTGCTGAACCGCCTCTGGTTAATCCAACATTATTTTCTGTAGATTATTTCCCGGCTCTCCGGCCGGTTACCTTCTGGGCGCCTTGGATCAGCCTCCTCACCACCTCCTTGATGTGCGGCCCCGGTTCTTTGGGCGGGTGTGTGTACACGGACACCCGGGTCACCCCCTTGTACACGCCGCTGCAGGCCGGCCAGCCGATGTCCAGCGCCGGAACCTCGGTGTCGGACATCTGCGGCCAGTAGGTGGAGTGGACCCCGGAGTCGGCGCTGGTGGCCTCCTTGGGCTTGTCCGGCTCGCCGGGCTCCTGGTCGCTGTCCGGGTCGTACTCCTGGAAGCTGTCCCGGATGGCCCGGACCTCCCTGGCGCACAGGAAGTCCCGGATGTTGTCCTCCTGCAGGCGCATCTTGAAGGCTCCGTCCCCGTGGCGCAGCAGCTGCTCCAGCGCGGCCCGCTGCTCCTCGCTGTAGTAGAACTCCGGCCGGGACTCCGGGACCTTCTCGTTGACGTGCTGGTTGTCCAGACACAGCAGCTGGGACTCCGCCATGGCCGCGACGCGCTGCCTCTGCAACGGCTGCGCTTACCTGGGCCGACAGGTGAGGAGGGAGCGCAGGTAGGAGCAGGAGGCGGGGCTAGGGGACCGACACGAGGCGCCCCGCGTTCCTGAAGGCTTCCTGCTGGAAAACTTTCAGAATAAAGTCAATAGATTAATAAATACCGATCAGTTTCATTTATAAAGAATCATACTACAAGCAGCTCAAAGTGCTGCTGCATGATGACAAACAAAGAAACGATCCTGATGGTCCCGTAAATTCGGTTCTACTGGAACCAGAACATCTGCTCCACCTCCAGCTGCTGTGGCTCTGAGTCAAACCAACCTGTTCCCCTCCTGGCCTGTGGGGGCGCTGCACCAAGAACCACTGAGGGAAACGACACAAAAACCTCTGAAGACACTGAGAGCAACTTCCTTCTTCACCAGATGGAAACAAGATGGAGGATTTTAGCGGTTGGAGGATTTCTCTTTAGGCTAAACACCAGGAGCCATTTCTGCTGCTAGCGCTAGGCTAGCATGTTAGCTTTGGTTGTATTTACCCAGAATGCCCTGGGCTGTAGTCTACTTCCAGCTTTTGGAGCGGTCTCTGGTCCGCTTGGCGTTCATATATGAAACCGAACCAGAGTTCACTTGAACCGAACCCAGACTGAGGACTGGAGGACCAGAGGTCAGAGGTCAGTCAGCATTCACACCTCACCAATCTGACCAGACTTTGACTAGATAACCAGACTGGAGTTGGGTTGAATTACATCAGAACTTTTTTTAAATGTCTGTTTTGTTTCCACAGATTAAAGTTTCAGACCATAATCTGTTTTAAATCGGTGCAGATTTAAAGTTTTTACAAAGTTATCAGGATTTATTTCTCCTGGATTCTTTATGTAGGATAAATCCAGATCAGTCTGGACCACAGCAGACGGTTTCTGTCTTAAAATAACTGAGGTTGAGTATTTACTGAAATCATTTAAAAACTTCCTTCCATCCATCCATTTCTAACACCTTTGTCCCTCACGGGTCAGGACCTGCTGGTTCCTCTCCAACGTTCCAGGCGAGAGGCGGGGTCACCTGGACGGGTCACCTGGACGGGTCACCTGGACGGGTCACCTGGACGGGTCGCCTGGACGGGTCACCTGGACGGGTCACCTGGACGGGTCACCAGTCTGTCACAGCATTTAAAAACTTGATTCTGAAATTTATTTATAATTTAAAAACTATGAAAACAGAAAGAAGGAAAATACTTTTAGTTCTGATTTGTTCTTTTTCGATACTTTTGTTTGTGTTTTCTCTGGTTGAAGAATTACTTTTTTCAGATAATTACTGTACTCCATTTTTATTGTTATTATTTTGAATTTTATTTTATTTATTTTGGTGGCAGCAGCTGATTAGCATCTTAAAATAAAACCTGACCTTTGACATCAAATCCCAGAAGAGTCGGACAGGAGGCTTCATTATGCTAAAAAGTGGATACAGAGAGAGGAAGTTGAAACCATCATTTCCTTTTCTTTCTAACCAATCAGATTTGAAGTAGAGCAGCAAAAGCAAAGGAGGACGATTAGCAGAACTAGCTAACAACTGATGATGTCACTCATTTTACTGTGGAGTATTGATGTTAAGCTGTTAGCAACCGTCTTCAGTCAGAGACCTCTACAGATTGATTGTAAGACTGACTGCTACTGGAGATCACAGCTTCACTGTCTGCAGTGACTGAAGAGTTAGAATATTTAGTTTCTCTTTTTTAATTGAATTGTTTTGTAATTAAATTCAACAGTCATAGAAACAAACCACAAAAGTGGAATAAGGAAAAAATGTTTTATTAACAGAGAAGCTATAAATGAATCCACTGCAGGTGAAATGAGTCGTTCTTATTTAGAAATCTCTCACAGTGTAAATAATTCAATAAAACTCTGGAAACCTTTTATTTATGAAGAAAACATGAAGTCATGAAGCAGCAAAATGTTTTTCTGTATTTCTTTACTGAAATGTATAAAATGTAAACATGAAGCAGCACAAGAACAAACTGTTCAACCTGTGCAGCTTTTATTTTGAAAACCACCCATTCCTTTTTACCTTATTCAGTTTTTGCTATATTTATGCAGCACAATGAGGCAGAAGACTAATAAATGATAAAACAGAAGTTCAAAAGGAAACATCAGGAGATGAATAATAACAAAGTTTCTCTTCAGTGAATTTTAATGATCAAATGAAACATGAATTTGCAGAAGGAGTTGACTGATCAGGCCAACAAGCATCCATCAATAAATACCTGCAGCCGCGTTATAATACAAACGGTAAGAAACATGGCTTCTGCAGCACTTCCTGTTTAGAAACTTCCTGTAGGCCAGAAGGAAATGTTCAACCTGAAGTAGCCACGCCGGGCGGCGAAGCGCTGCTGCAGCCTGGCCTGCAGGTGGCGCTGCGGCTCCTCATATCGGAGCCGTGTGGTTAGCAGGAAACAAGCCGCTCTGGCCCCGCAGCCGTCCTCTCCACCACGCCTGGTCCGAGCGATCCAAGACCTCGATGATGTCACCGGCACAGAAGCCCAGCTCGTCGTCTTCCTCCGCCGTGAAGTTGTACAGCGCCCTCACCTGGACGCCGCCGGTTCTCTGCAGGAAGGAGGACAGACATTTATTACTCTGCGGCGAGCGGACGGCTGCAGAACCACCGGCTAACCTGAAATCATTTATTCAAATTTGAACTTTATCAGAAACAAACATCGAGTTATGCATCAAATCAGCTCAGTAAAAATAAACAAAAACTAACTTGACGGCCTGAGGTCTCTCTCACACACACACACACACACACACACACACACACACACACACAAATATCTCTGCCTCATTGTTTAAATCGTTTAATAAAAGAGCGGTCTGTGTGAAGTGCTAACAGCTAGCAGCTGACCGAAGGCAGCGGCATGGTCTCGGAGGTGCGGCGCGGCGGGCAGGCGGAGCTGATGGGGCTGCTGCGGCCGGTGTGTCCGATGGTGTGCGCTCGCTCCTCGAAGCCGGGACGTTTGGCCTGAAACAGGAACACAAAGAAACAGATTAATGCCGAGCAGTTTGGATAAACTAAGGCTCCGTGTCGTGTTTAAAGTCTGTAAACTCCAGTTAACGATTAATTAACGTCTTTTCTCAACAATCGATTAATCACGATTGATCTGATGAATCGTTGCAGCCCTAGTTTTGATCAGAGTCTGTCTGAAGAACTTGGTATGAAACTGTTAACCAGATTCAGACAGGATATGAATTCAAAATTAAATCTGAACATATTTTGATATGATTCTTTTATGAAGCCATTTTCTTTTTGCCTTTGATTTCCAGCTGATCCTTTGTTCTGGATGCTGCTGCAGAAATAAACGTTCCCAGCCGAACCCAGTGCTGCAATAAATACTATAATGAACGAAGTGGTTCTGTACCAGCTGGCTGGACGTCTGTTCAGAGGAGCGGCGCGGCGCGGCGGCGACTGCTGCAGCAGAGTTTCGATGCTCAGGCAGACTTCCTCTCTTCACCTGCAGGAAGGAAGCAGAGCGCAGATAAAAACACAACAACCTCGGCTACTCAGACGCTCACAAATAAAAAACTTTCTCAAGCTTCCGGCTCAATCTGGACGAGGAAACTGACGACAGTTACAGCTGCAAATAAAGTTAAACTGTATTTTTCTGAACAACGTTTTGGTGACGTTTTGATGAAATGATGGTTCTGATCCGATCAGCTTAACAGCAATCAGTCAGATTTCAGCAGAAAATGATAAAACCAGTTACTGGTAAAACCTGCAGCAGATTCAGAGAAAAGTTTTCACACCAAGATGGAGAAACGGACTATTAACAAATTTATTCATTTATTGACAAACGTTTATTAAATCTGGTTGGTTTTTTTAATCTGCAGCACAAAAACAACAAATTCACAAAAATGAAATAAGAAGTTTGCAGTTTAAGAACTAAAATGATAAATTATAACATTTTATTTTGTGTTTAAGAAAATAAACAGAATAAACTTAAATTTAAATTTAAGCTGAGAAAAAAGGGACTAAATGTAATTAAAAGTGATTGATGTGAAATCTGTAAAAACCACTTATAAAACATTTATTGCACGTTCTTTGAGTTTCGCTGCACTGAAATAAAACAGGTGATTCTTTGAATTAAAATAAACGAATTACTAATAAAAGGATGAAATTATCATAAGATTACAAGAAACGATAACGTGGTTCCAGGAAGTGCTTATCAGAAACGATTTCCTCATTTCTCAGAACCGTTTCATGCATCCAAAAAAACTAAAAATGTTTCACAGAAAATTATTAATCTGAAAAAGCAACAATTTATAAACTGGGATTGAAAGTAAAAAATGAGACGTTATGTTTCTGTTGATGCATGTTCTCCCTGTGCATGCGTGGGTTTTCTCCGGGTACTCCGGTTTCCTCCCACAGTCCAAAAAACATGACTGTTAGGTTAATTGGTCTGTCTAAATTGCCCCTAGGTGTGTGTGTGTGTGCGCATGGTTGTGTGTCTGTGTTGCCCTGCGACAGACTGGCGACCTGTCCAGGATGTACCCCGCCTCTCGCCCGGAACGTTAGCTGGAGATAGGCACCAGCACCCCTCCCGACCCCACTGAGGGACAAGGGTGTTCAGAAAATGGATGGATGGATGGATGTTTCTGTTGATGGTTTAAACCAGGGCTCCCCAGGGCGGGTCCCTGAGGGCCGGCATGCTCCTGGCCTTATTCTCTCCCTGCTGGTGGAAACAACGTCCTCAGCAGGTCAAGGTTCTGCTCAGGCCTCTAATGATCCATCAGTGGGTCCAGGTGGTTAAACCAGGGAGAGAATAAAACATGCAGGATGCCGGACCGATGGGCTAAACATCCACACAGCGTCACATTAAAATGATTTTTAATCCTTTTAATTGAGCTCATATTTCTGTACTTAAATATTTTATTGCTTTGATGTAATATTATGGTTTTAATATTACATTAAATCTTGCTGTTAACAGAAAATCATCATAATTACTAGAAATAAAGGCATTAAAACTGTCTTTGTAGTAATTAATCTAAATAGTGTCAAATAAATGAACAGTTTGGAAATATTTTAATTTAGAGAAAATTAAAATGAATGAATATTATGTGTTTATTATATGTTGCTGTTTTTTTCCATAAAGTAAAACATTAATTATTCCTGATTATTGATTAATAATATTCACTAAAATGTTTGCGATTTCAACTCAGCGATTTTAGCAGAAACTTATTAAAATCATCAAGAATTTTAACATGAATATATAAAAATAGGAAGTTCCTCTCTGTGAGTCACATCCTAATAATAACTTTATATAATTATTTAACTTCATTTGGTGGCATTAGTATAAAAAGAGGCAATGGAGAGAAACGGCCTGTTAAAGTAAAAGTGTCCAGGTGTGTGTCTACCTGGGAGCCCGGGGGGCTCCTGCCCTCCTGGCAGCCATCTTGGAGGCAGATCTGCCTGGTTTTGGAGATGGACGTGGTTTTATAAAACTCCACCAGCTTGTTGAGAGACGTGAACTTCTCGGACCACAGGAAGTACTGGCCCTTGTTGTCCCGCATCACCTTGAAGTGCTGAACGTCGTTCTCATGTCTGAAGCAGAAAAGTTATCAGAGTTTAGAAAGTTTAGGTCTGAAGCTCAGGATCAGATCAATAAACAACAGTTTCAGTTTTAAACACATCAGTTAAAACTCTCTTTTCATTCAGATCCACGTTTATTATTTTAACAAAAATCTCATTAACTAAACCTTAACGCTGCAAAATACTTTCTCTGGTTTTAGTGCAAATATCCCAGTAAACTTGGAAAAAGACAAAACTAACTTACAGGTACATTTCCAGCAAAATATGGGAGATTATTTACAGTCAATTTTGGTAAAAGTTTATTTTTGTCTGATGTCAAGTTTACTGAGATATTTGCACTAGAAACTAAATAAAAATGTGAATGTTTTCCTATAATCATAATTCAGCATGAAATCGTCTCATTGCTGCAGATTAAACGTGTTTTTGAAATTAGACGTTTTCACCTACAGATCGGAGTTTTGCATCCAGAAACAGTTTTTATTAAAATATTTAACATATAAAATCAGATTGCGTCGGCGAACTGAATCTAGATGCTTTAGATCTTCGTCTGATTGAAAATGTTTTTTTGTTTTGGTGCAGAAACAGGAAGCTGCAGAAGAATCCCAGTTTATTCCTGAGGATCAGCTGCACTGCACCCTGCTGGTCAGCCTGCAGAACTGCAGCTTCAACTAAAAGAAAAGAAAAACGATTCTCAGAAATAAACCACCGCAAGATTCCTGCTCAGATGGAAACGTATAACATGTTATTTTACTCATTTTTAAGTCTGGATGGAAAATATAGGATGGGAAAAAAAATCAAACTTTATCTGCAGTAAATCCATCCAAATGTTTTTACCTTTTCACAAAATCAACATTAAATGCAGAGTTTGGTTGTAACTAGTTACATTTACTTAAGTAACGTTTTTGGACACGTGTTTACTACGCTGTACTTTTTACTTTTACTTGAGTCATTTCATTATGAAGTATCGTTTCTCCACTGTAGTAAAATTTCTGGATTTTCTTCCCACTGAAGGAAAAACAAAAATGTTTTAACCAGAAACTCACCAGACAGACTCACAGCTTCAGTTTCTGTTAAAGTTTTTATTGACACAAACTAATTTGGAAACATTTTATGTTGCCTGATTTTGTTATTTTTTGTTACTTATATAAATTATTTTCATTTTGGTTTTCAAAATACCAACATTTACACTTAATTAGGCCAGAGCAGCTAAGCGCTGCGAGAGCCTATTGAAACCTTGCTGTAAATTATTATTATTATTATTTCATATTTTAATCCATCTGATTATATTATTTTTACATATTAAATGATGGATAATTTGATAAGTTACTTTTCTGGTTAAATGTTTTACTTCTGTTTTATACTTTTAAAAACTCCTGACATTTAAATCTGGACGTTTCAGACATTTTGACATGAAAAAAAATCTCCTTTATTATTCCGTCAGATTAAAATCAGCAGACCTCTGAAGACAAACGTTTTAAAGAGCAGAACCTGAATAACGCTGAGTTGAACTGATTCTGGTTTTATTTGTTGCAGATGAACATAAACGTTTCGCTGCAGCTGCAGTTTCTGTTTATCGTTCCATAAATGGAAACATAAATACTTCTGCTGGTAAGTCTCAACATCTTCTACTAAAATAACATCTTAAATTCGCTTTGGGAGTTGAAACCTCTCCACAGTTTTTACATAATTATTTAAATAGTTTTATTAATGATCATCTCTGCATTCTGGAAATATAAGAACTTTACAGCAGCTGTGAATATTCTCAGGTTTTATTTTTGTCAGAATCTGGATTTTGTCCTTTTTAGTTAAAAATTTAAATCTGTTTAAATGAAAATTTGTTACTTTTCTTTGTTTTGGGGAAATTTGAGCTGGTTATTAGTTTAGTTTCATGTCTGAAGTTTCAAAGTTTTACATGAATTTCTGTCATTTAGAAACTTCAGATCTTCAAAATGTTAATTATCCAAACTTTTCACTCATTATTTTAAATACCAGAATATAAAAACATGTTGTTCATTAAAAACAAGGGCAGGATGTTTTAGGTCATATAATCTGAATATAATAAAAAATAAATCAGATCAGAGAATTTCATCACTCAGATGTTTTCAGCGATAATCCACTTTAATCCAGAGTCTAAAGAGCATTTTTAAATTTTACCAGTAGAAAAACCTTAAAGTTTGGAGGATCAGATGTGATTTAGGAGGCTTATTAAATAAAAACATTTTTCTAATAAAGATGATCAGTTTTAAACTCTGACAGCAGAAGGAGCCGTTTGTCCAAAATATAGGTTAAAAAAATCCAGAAAAAAATAAAAAACTGGATGAAAACTGATCCGAGTTACAGACTGGAGTAAATCAAAAAATTAAAGTTTCAGTGTTTATAAAAATACAGAATCACCTGAGAAATACGAGAATTAAACTAACAATCAGAAAGTTTGATGAAAAACGAAAACTAATACTTAACATCAGGGTGTGAATACTTTGTGTCAGGGTGTGAATACTTTTCGGTTGGCTCCACCTACTTGACGGAGATGGAGAAATCTCCCGGTGAACTCTGACATCCTCGGATCACGAAGTCTCCCACCGTTTTGTGCCTCAGCAGCTCCTCCGCCTGGCTGCGGCTGGCGTCTTCCTTGAACCAGCTGGAAAGCAAAAAGTTTTCAACCCCCAACAGATTCAGGTGGCGACACGGCGGTGGCCTCATGGTGCTGCGGGCCTTACTCTGGAGTCTGCAGGTCGATGTAGTTTTTGGGGATGAATCCTTCCTGTCCGTTCATCTCGGCCTTGCACCAGTCGTCCTCCAGGTTTATGATCTGACCAGAAACAGGTGGGGGATGGTCAGGCAGGCATTGCTCAACAGAAACAGGTGGGGGAGGGTCGCAGGCCTCACCTTCAGGATGTCGTTCTTCCTGAAGCTGAGCTCGTCGTCCGCCGTGGCGGTGAAGTCGTACTTCCCTCTGGCCTCCATGTTTCTGCTCCAAAAGTCGGTCGAAAGTCGGAAAGACGAGGATGAAGATTCTCTGCAGGGAGGAAGAGGAGGAGCAGGAGTTACAGCTCGGCTTCTGGGCAGCAGGACGTTTATCGTGACACGCAGCTCTGGAAATCACTTCATAGGTTAATAAATAAACTTTTAGGAATATAAACGGCTAAAAACAAGAAAATGTAATAAAGTATCTGCAGATCAAAGCAAAAGAAGTTAAAATGCAAACATGAGCAAAACAAAGATTTAGCAAAAACACTGTGCTTTAGTTTCTTAAAAACTAATAATACATGTTTAGAAAGTCTTTTTTTCATTTTTACAAATCATCAAACAAAGACCAGCAATAAGTTCAACCATTTTATTAAAGGATAAAGTGAAAATGTTCCAGAAACAGATGATTGGACTCGAACTGCCGATCATTAAAGTTTCTGTTTGCATGTTTTATGACTTTATGATGGAAGTAAAAGCAAAGAGAAGCAACATAAAACATTAAACCATAACAGAGTCCAGTTATGGTTTTTATGGCTCCAAGCGCCAGAAGATGCAGATAAAACCTGCAGCAGCTTTAAATGAACAGATTATTGATCTGTGATCAGCCTGGAAGAAAAACGAGAAAAACTTTCAAATGATCCAATAAATCAGGAAGTTAATAAAGGATGAATTCATTTATTAACTAAATTATCCCCTAAAGATAATAACTAGTTATGTTTCTCTGTGGAAGAATCACCACATTGAGATTTAACTCCAAACTTTGACTAGGCCACTCTAAAACCCTTCAGTCTTATGTTTTAGCCAATCAGAGGAGAGTTGTAATAACAAGTTAACACTAAATTAAAACAAGCTCAATAATTTACATTCTGATGATTTTAGACTTTTTAGGAATATTTTGCTTACAGAAACATAATAATCCATATTTTTTGCTGTTGGTTTTATTTATTGTTTTTGGTAATAATCTGTTTTATTTATCAAACCGATTTATTAACAATTAAATCTGCTGATGTTGACATTAATGATGATATTTCATTCATCTGTAAAGAAAATGCATTGAAATTAATGAGTTCATAACAAAGTTTTCTGCTTTTTAATGTAAATAAAAATAAATAAAAATAAAAAGCAGAACAATCAGTAATCTGTTTTCAGGAAAAGGTAACAGCGACAGGAATTCAATTCTCGCTTTGTTGAGTTTATGAAAGGAAACAGAAAATATGAAACGCTGTGAAGTTTAAAAAAGGAAAAACATCGTTAAAGATCAAAGTTACGAGAAGAAGAATCAGATTCCTGCTCAGAGAAACAGCTGCTTTGAAATGTTGACAGATATTATGTAAATAATAAATGCAAATATGTAAATATTTTAGTTTATTCAGGAATTATGGTGGTAAAGTAAAATTTCATTTAATTCAATAAAAATAAAAACGTTATTTGTTCCAAAGGAAAATGAAACACTGCTGAACTCAGAGTAGTGATGCTGTGGGCCAGAAGGATCTCCTGTAGCAGTCAGTCTTCCAGCAACTCTAGAAGCTTCTGGCCGAAGACTGCTGCTGTATGACATGCTAACATGCTAACAGGCAGCAGAGACGTCCCGATGACATCATCAGCTGCATCAGCCTCCGGTTAAACTCCTCTGGGGTCAAAGTTCAACAGTTGTTTTAGCCTCAGAGATGCTAATCACTTCCTCCGTCTTGTTGTTGCCATAGTTACGCATCAACCATTTCAAAGTGAGAAAAAATAAGATTAAAATCCTTCCGGCAGCAAAGCTACAGAACCAGAGACAAAGATGATATTTTAAAATATGAAAACTGCTCCAACCTGCCGCCTCCGAGTTAAAGACGAACAACGAAAAAAAACTAAAAACTGAAGCAGAAAAAAAATAAAATCACAAAAAATAAATGAGACAAACCGAAATTCACTGGAACTGCAGAGAAATGCTCAGATGTTTTATTCAGACTCTTTTAGTTTCATCCACAAGAGACAGGAGGAAAAATATTTAATATATGAATAAAGTTTAATTAATGATAATTAATCATGAATAACAGCCTCATTAACAATGAGCCGTTCAGGCGGCAGATCGGATCTGAGGGTTAAGCAGCAGATTTCTGCTGACACAAAATAAGATCAAAGTATTTAGTGACATTACGGCCTCAAAGGTCAAAGGTCAACGTGTTTAACCTGGAGACCAACATGAAGTCGCCTCTAACGGTAAACAGGAAGGAAAACGTTCAAACCAGTTTTTCTCTCCTTTCTGCAAACATGACTCAGCACTTTGGAGTTTGACTTCATCACATCTGAACATCCAGAGGGAGATCAGTGGCCTTTGACTAGGCCACGTGACTGAAGAGCAGAACAGCTGCTGGACTTTGTTTTATTTGGGGAATCAGATTAAATGGAGTTAAAAACATAGAACATGTAAAAACTCAATAAAGGTTTGTGGTGAAAATTATATTAATAATTTCCTAATAATATCCGACTTTCTGTCAGCTGCTCCTTATATGGTCGAGAAAACAGGAAGCGAAAAAGTAAATAAAACAATGAGCTGAATAAAGACGCGGGAGAATATCAGGGGTAAAACCATCAGGGGTAAACAGTCAGGGGTAAAACCATCAGGGGTAAAACCATCAGGGGTA